AAAAAGCAAATACCTGCAATGTAATTCATTAAATTTTAGTAGGAACACTTGGTTTTTCACTGTAGTACTCATTTGTAAAGAAAAGAAAAAAATGCAGCAATGTCGTCTGAAGTAATGGAAATATGACTTGGTTACGCCACCATGCATCACATGAAGGCTTTTTACACGCTGTGCAGTCTATAAATTTTTGAAAACGCTCTTCTATCTGAGACACGTTGGAGAGCTTTTTTATGCAGATTCCATCTTCAGAGATGGAGCGTCTGGTCTCCAAGGAAAGGTGGAGAAATGAGTCACCGGCTTCGCAGTGACCTGTGATGGGCTCTGACTTCCTGCCAGTAACCGTTCTGTCAGTGCAGGCTGTTTGTGTCCGACAGGAGATCGTTTTTTTTAAAATCGCACTCTTTTTAGTGCAGATGATGTGCTGCCGTAACCAAAAATGTATTTCTCAACCACAAACTCAGCTGCCAGACTTGACAACAGGAGAGAGGTGTGACCGCTTCATCATCATTTCAGACTCTACACGGCATCCTCAGGGGTTTATGAATTGATTTTAAAATATTACCTATTACTACTAAATCTTTTCATGGCTTCTCTTTCTACTACACTTCTAAAGGCTTAAAATGTATAATTTTCAGCACCACTCGAGGGTTTCTTTGTGCTTTAATGATTTTAGTTTTTGAAACAAAAAGCTCAGCACAATAATTTTAAAATATCTTCATTCCTTTGTTAATAGCTAAGTATCGACTTCACCTGGGCACAAACACTTTGAGTCTAACACCAGGTTTCATGTGTGGGAAGAGAGAAAGCGAGCTGCGCCTCTGTAACCAGGCAGAACCACTGATCTGCCATCTTTTCCCGTCCTTCGTTGGATCAAGCTCATCTTTCTCACTTTCACACTCCTGCGTCCCAACACTTGTGTTTCCCTCTCTGATTCTCAGCTCATTAGATGGTTTATGGCTGCAATCTTTGTCAAAATGCTCATAGCTGAAAGAAGAAAGGACATTTTAACACTTATCTGGTAACACTCTACCTAAGAAAAAAAAAAGGATTACTTTCTAGGCTTGAATTATGTAACATTACTGGCTTTATTCATCTGTTAACGTTACCTTTTTTTAGTCATTCTGACATAGGCTACACAGGTTAGGTCAGTTATGTAAAAGTTCTGTGTGGCTATATTCAGATACACCAGGACCTTTAAAGGAAGAAGAGAGCCTTGGTTGCCTCCTGATATTTAGCTATGAGCTGATCACGCTGTCAGTGATTTTGCCTTTTTTTCCCCTAAATAATTCCCACTGTGAGCTCATTGCTTTTCACAGTTAATCAACACGGTATACTACAAGCACAGACAATTAATCTAGAGAGGCATGCAATTCTTATGTGATCAGGTTTAAAGCCACATATGCATTCATTCATCTATGCAGCTGGCATGAATCAAAACTAAAAATATCAAGACTCATGTCATGTCACTGTGAAAGAATGAAGGAGAACGTCCTCCAGATCTACTACTTCCTTACACGCATCACATAAAATCAGACAATTAAAAACTAAATGGTGAAAAATGTTTAATCAATAGTCCACCCATCCCCTACCCCAATAAATAAACATATTATTGAATTCATAACTGATATAACAGACATTTGAGGATTTTTGGCCTTCGAGGTTGAGGATTTCCTTTAAATTGATCAGCTAATGGTTTCACCTTTAAGCTGGCCTGTTCAGTGTTTCATGGTGTTAAGAAAATTAATTCTCTCTCTATTGGCCCTTGTGCTGCTGAAGCCTTTAGATAAATTAGATATCATCCACACTGAAAATTCGAAGCCTTTTCCTGTGTAAGACGGCATCTGCTCCACTATGCATTGTTTTCATTCAGTAATAATTTTAGGTAAACTTTTTCAGGCATTGTTTAGAATCCAGAGATTAGTCAGCAACTTCAAGACCTCATTCTCCCCCCTCCTCCATCTTTCTTTTTTCCATTTTCCTGGGTGATTGGGAGTTCGCACCGACACATGTGCACCAACGGCCGACCCCAGCTGCAGTTATGTAAGAGCTTTCATCCAGGGCATGATGGGGAGGCTTCTCTGGTTCTCTTCTCTGCATGCAGCAGCGCTGCTCGAATTTATTTATTCATTGTCACGTTTCATCTTTTTTCCTTTTCAAGCTCTTCAGCACTGAAATAATGAGACTGCCTCTGCACTGTGGAGCCGTAACCCCGCTAACGTTCGACATCTCACGTCTTCTCACTACTGACGAAAATTACCGACTGAGCTTTTACAGTAATAATGGAGGAGGAGGGGGTGTGTACTTTTTTCTTTTGATTATAGAACAGTGTATATGACAGGCCTGAAAGTCAGAAAACTGACTTAAAAAGAACTTCAATGATGAAGCAATCCATCCTTCAAAAAGGGAAAAACAAACAAGCAAAGAAGCAGTTACGATATTAATAGTAACATCAGCCTTACCTATTCTCTTCTGATCTGTGATGTCCAGCTCTGGTTCAGTGTAAGGTTTGAGCTCGTCATCATCAAATCCTGCATTGATCCATCGATCCTTCATAATTTGCTGTAAAAATAAAGACAGACAATTAGAACAGATGTGGCTACACATACGCAAGAGAAACAAAAAATGCATGCATACCACCGAATAAAAAGTGGCATTTTCTTTTTTCCCAGCACAGAAGTTTACAGGGTTTTGTAGGCAAAACAGCAAACCTGAATAAACTGTGACAAACTAACAGTTTGAAACTTTTAAGAGTGCTCAATCCTCCAGGTAAGGAAATCCCAAAAAAGGTGATCTATTCATCTGGACATAGCATTTTCCATGGGAGAAACTGGCGAACAATGGGCTGTGAGGCCACAGTCCATTGTTATTCAGTGGTGCTAGTTTCAGTCATTATGCAAATGCACTGTTTAAAAGGTTGGAGAAACCTGCAGTCAGCTGAGACTGAGGAAGTCACTCCCACTGAAAGTGGTTCTATGATACTAGAACTATAACCTTTGTCTCAGTTTTAAAAAATAAAGGTGAATCAAATCAACATATATAGGGGGCACCACAGCTCATGAGGTTACACCTTTAGTAGCTCTTAAGGTGCATCTTCAAATATTATCTGGCGTCATCAGAAAAGGCTTCGTCCAACATAACTGGTGTGGACAGATGTTACAGTTTAACAATATTGAAATGAAATTTTAGTTCAAGTCTAAACTTGATGGATTTATATTTCTAACAATGAATTTAACATCCACTGTAATAACAGATCAAACAGTAAGTAGAGTGCATGAGGCACTCCACTCAGGTTTAATTCAGTCCATTCCCAGAAACACTACACATTGAACTGTGCTCCATCACATTTGCTTGCACCCTTATTTTATTTCGCTAATCAATCATCAGCTGATCAATTGCTCCCTGGGGTTTTACTGAGGACAGAGCCAAACTAATTATCACGCTCTGCTGTGGCTGCCATAATCCAGGTCAATCGTGTGGCATCAAACGCCAACAGATGTGACCCCGACATTCGAGCCAGCACTTTTTATTTTAATGCACGTACTGTCTGCTCTAAAGAATTCAGCAAAATGCAATAAAGCCATTTCCTTGAAATGAAAGGCGAAAATCAGCTTTGAGATTAAATAGCAAGTTCAGAGCTTACGTGCCAAAAATAATTGTGAAAAGAACGATTTTTCTTCGTGTGAATGATTTCCTGCGGAGTGTGAACAGCTAAAAGATGATCATTCACACATTCACACATTGATCTGTGGAACAATTCTCTCTGTCCTCTCTTCCTCTTACATTTAACACTTGGATTATTCCAACCACCGCAGATGTTCTGACGGAAATAAAAAGTCCAGGTATTTCTGCCATTTTCTGTCAATCAACTTTGAAAAACTGATTTATTTTTGTCCAGTAATATTTAACTTAGTATGTGGACTCTGAGGACACCTTTAATTGTTTTGGTTAAGAGGTCAAAATTTCATTTGGCTCATCAGAGAACATGCTGAAGTATGATCGTACAATACCGCTGTTCGTTATCCTCCTACTTCTGCTGGAACTTTGACTACAGACACATTTCTACTTATACATGAATGTTTTTTTAACATGTTTGCATTTACAGTTTTGTAGCTTTTGCTGCTCATCTATTATTTAATACTGTGACAAAAAGCACAAATGTTTCCTTAACAATAACTGGAGGATTTCTTGGATCCCAAATATTTGATCAAACAACATTATATGCTGCTCAAAAGGCAATGCACAAGTACAAAAACAATGTAATGAAACTCATTTACAGTCAAAGGGGCAATTTCATATTATATTTTGCTTACAGAAGAGTTTTGAACTCCTATTATGTTCACTTTAGAATCATGTGCTGATTAAAAGCCAAAGATATCTCACATACTGTCATCTAATCCTCACATCAATGATGCTCGATGGATTTTAGGTGTGAGCACATTTCTGGACACCAGATTTACTGCATATCTGATAACAGATGGATTGTTTTCAGCAAAGTTCCTGTTAAGTTAAAGCGAACTGAAGTGTTCGCTAGCACACTGCATGTTTTGATCTTGCTTAAACCGGGAGATAAATAAAATACATTAAAAACGCAGCTGTACTTTCTGCTCATATGACGCAGACTCAAATAAGTAGGCTATATGCGCCCTCTTGAAAACTGATGCATACTCGAGGCACAAATGAAGGCAGAGAAGTGATCACAGAAGACAATTTTGGCACAAACACAAAAACGTCGATGCATTATTCATGGTTACAACATCATAAGAGGAGGAGTAGAGTGTGGGCCGGGCACACGCACAAAACAGGACGCCGTCGGCGTCAGAGGAGATGATGCAGTGGGGAGATGCGGGGACTGAGAGGAGGGGTTGAGGATGGATGGCATTCTCCAATGGTGCAGACGTGCTCTGGGAGTGCGTTAAGAACTAAGAGGTATATTTACATTTTCTGCATCCTCCCTCACCTCGAGAGTACCCCGCTTGGCCGGGTTGAGCACCAGGAAGCGTTTGAGGAGGTTCTCGCAGTCTGTGGACATGTAGAAAGGGATGCGGTACTTCCCTCTGAGCACACGCTCCCGCAGCTCCTGCAGAGAAGGATGAACGGACTGATCTCAGATCATTGCTAGAAGAAATGTAGGGGCCGGTTTGTAGACTAACATTGTGCATAAGCTTTACTTTAATCATTTAAGAGAACCTGGAACAGCTTCCACAGGATTTGCACCATATAACCCCATAGTACATGTAACACTAGACAGTACCAACAGTTATATATAACAGCATTTAAATGACAACTATGATTATTTTTATTATCGCTTTCTCAGTTGCTGTAATTGAGAGGACTGCTAAATGTAAAAACTTCTTTACTGTGTAACCTAGGATCCAATATATTAAGGTCGTCACTTTTTTATTTATAGAAAATATGGACAAAGAGCATCATCTCTCTCCTTCTGCTATGAGAAAGAAGCTGCAGCATCACGTCATCCACACGCTACCTTAAGATTCTGTCCGTCAAAGGGCAGCGAGCCGCTGACCAGCGTGTACAGTATCACCCCCAGACTCCAAACATCCACCTCTGGCCCGTCGTACTTCTTTCCCTGGAAAAGCTCCGGTGCTGCGTACGGCGGGGAGCCGCAAAACGTATCCAGCTTGTTGCCCAGAGTGAACTCGTTGCTGAAGCCGAAATCTGCGATCTTGATATTCATGTCTGCGTCGAGGAGCAGGTTCTCAGCCTTCGAACAGACAAACCAGTAACTTTTAGGCAATCTGCTGAGCACTGAACACTGGTCAGTGTTGGAGAGGCAGCCACATGAAGGCCAAAATGTTTAAATAATTATTTCTTCTGTATTGCTGTCATTCAGCAGCATGAAGTTTGTATTTGATGATATTATTGATTTATTAGTGATTATTTTTTAGACAAAGCCAAACATGGTAAGCACTTTTTCTGCCGTCGCTTGATTAATCATTTTGTCCATAAAGTGTCAAGAAAAGTGCCAAAAATCTAAAACCTGTTTTATTTATTTATGAGTCCAAAAATCCAGGATTATAAGACTTTAAAAAACACATAATTTCTCCTTTGTGAATGAATGAGGATTTCAACCCAGCCATCTGCTCTTTGCTGACATGTAGCTGTAGGCGAAAGACTAATTAGAAAGCTGAGATGAGTACACAGAGGACTCATCCTTCCAGCTGAAACACTGAACTGACATCCTGAGAGGCTTTCAGCTGCATGCAAACAGCACTCATCACAACATGTCTGACCGTCAAAATCTCAGCAGGTGTTGCTGCTGAAGCCACGAAAAGCCCAGAATTCCTCAGAAGCACAAAATGGCCTACAAGCCTGAGGGACAGTGTTTGGTTAAAATGTGGCTTGTATACCTCTTCTACATCGAGTGTGACATTTGGACGCGCGCTGAGCAGCTCTGTGCTGCTCTGTCATCTCCCTACTCATTGATCATTGATGAAGCTTCGCAGAGGAAACACTTTGGATGTGCAGCTGCTGGCAGAGCAGATACACGGGCCTCTCTTCTCTTAGCTACTCCCACTGATGCCGAGATAAAAATACAGAGGCATCAATATTTATAGTTGGAGAACTAAAATGGAGAGCATCACGGCTGTGAAACAGAAGAGGCGGGAGAACATGTAGACAATTTATAGGGCCGCCTACTTTTTCTTTTTTTTTTTTAACACTCCTCCCACCTCTATGGTGCAAAGATTTGTTTCATGGTGGCCATAGTGGCCAAGGACACTGTCGGAAAAGGGAAAAGATGAGCCTCACTAGCTGTGCGTGTGTTGGATTCATCTGTGGGAACGTGGGAGTTAAGATGGGAATCATAAAACAGGGACTGATGTGACCTTTAATTTATGATGGACAGCAAACTCTTTAAAATCTACTGACCCTAATATAATATGTACATTATATCAGCTTCTTAAATGTGAAGATTCTGAGGACAGAAAGAGGAGTTCAGATGGGGATCAAGTTTCTCAAATACTTCAAGTTGAAGTAGAAATACATACAATACAAATACCAGCTGGATACAAAAACTAATAACAGTGATCCCTTTTAATCTGAATTAATGACTTTCAACTGAATGATGCATGATGCACACCACAGTGTGACCTATAAAGGCTTTTGGATAAATACTGAAAATTCAAGTTCGATCTTTTTTTTTTTTTTGCTGTGTTTGCATTTTTAACCACTCACCTTGAGGTCTCTGTGAACAATGTGCTTCTGGTGGCAGTACTGCACCGCTGATACAATCTGTGCCGAGAGAAACACAAGTACAGCTTAGTTAAATGTTCTCAGACTGTGATAAAGGATGTGGTGTAGGAGGAGATGTGGTTGAAACTAACAGGAAAGATACAACTCAGCTAAGGTGGGGCAGAGCGGTGAGAAAACAGGTTTGTGCAGTAGCTCTGTCGTACATTCGTCTGACTCGTGAGGCACGTACGAGTATTGCTAGTATCAGGGCACAAGGAGTTCCTTTGAGTGACACATTTTAGAGCTTTTAAAATGATCATTTTTGAATCTTCAGTTCCCTTCATTTTTAAGGCTTCAAGATTTGCACAGAATTTTATTTGTGTCGTCTTGAGAAACCAACACTACAAAACGCAAAATGTTAGTATATCCACCAACTCAGATGCACAGAGTTTATAACTTAAACACTCGCAAAAAAAACCACCAAACTGAGTTTTTTGCATGTTTTCAAACTGCATCAAGGTTGTGTGACTTTTATGAGCATTATCAAAAAGTTAATAAAGTAGAATGGTAACAGGGTGGGGGGGTTACATAAACTTCTTCAACTGAAATTGCAGCTAGATCTGATTATCAAGGGATTGTTTCTCATTACACAATTTAAGATTGTTTTAATCTAAAATCTGATCACACCAGAGGCTGTTTCATTTATGATGCCAGATCACTGTCGTTCACTACTAATTAAACCAATACCAACACGGGCAAAAAGATACAGAGTCTGAGTGTTGAACATGAATACATAACAGCCAGGTGTTTTGGACCAGCTTCTTAGCACTTCACACAACAGTCGATGGCTTGTTTGTGACAGTCATGAAGAGTTAAGTGATGGGGAAGCAAGTCGGCTTAGACATCTAATCAGTCTCAACACAACAGAGACGCTTCTGTCCTCCGAGGACACACAGAGGACAGAGTCCTGTCTGAAGCACAGCCAGGAGCAGAGGTGTGAAACCAGAACACTGCAGGGGGAGAAAGCTGGGTACCTGTCTAAATTTAGCTCTGGCCTCTTTTTCCTTCATTCTTCCGTGTGCAACCAGGTAGTCAAACACCTCTCCTGCAAAAGAGCAGAAAGAGAGAAATTGAGGAAAACACTAAAAGTAGAGAATAAGCAGTGAGGAAAACGGATACGAAGGAGGTAGACAAACACAAAGTGAATCGCAGCTTCTAAAAAATCTGCAGATAAAAATAACTTATACGCAGCTGGCCTGCACCATCGCCCATGTGCATGGTTCGAGGGCGTTTCTTGACCATATTGAGTTGAGCTCGGCAACGCTTCCTCCACACTGAGCCTCTCCTGGAGGCACAAAGCTGCCGCCGAGCTGAGCTCCACAGCAGCAGACCCTTCCCTCGGCCCACACGCACAACCAAAACGTGACTACACTCCCTCGTGTGTTAATTGAACTCGAGTTGCTGGTGCATGCATGTGCACGCCCATACTCGGGTGATAGGAAAAAGAGAAAGAGAAAAAAAAAAACCTCCCCCACTTCTCTTGAATCCTCGAAACCCTTCTGCTCTCTCGGCGCTGACCTGCAGAGGCGGCCAGAGTGTGCGATTCTGTACTTATAAGCATCAATTCATCAGTGCTCTCTGACTCAAAAGCTAAAGACAGAATGAGCGTGCTGAAACTCTGCATGTCAGAGGTAAATGGCATGTCGTATGTTGTGCATAAAGATGAGCTCCGGAAACAAAATTGGAAAGTACCAAGAAAATTCACAAAATACATCAATGTTCGCATTAATAAATGCGAAATTGTTGTCTTAAATGAATTTGAGGCACAAGACTGTAAGGCTTCTTAAATTCTGCCATCACTTTTCTGCATTATCAAATAATCCTGGGGCAACTTATCAAGTCGGACTCAGCCACAGTTAGAAAAGACGAATAGAATAAACTTGTCACTTTGTCATTCAGCAAATACAGTTAACCGAATCACTGCTGAATGAAATTTACTAATAAATCTAAAAAAAGAATCTAGGATATATACATGTAAGAATCTCAGAGAAATGAGCTGTATATATTATGGAAAAAATGTACAAAATATCAGGACATAATGATATTGCACAGCAATAACAGCATTCCAGGTATGAAATTGCACCGCCCTAAATACACAGTCTCATGTGCATATATACTGGGGTGGGCAGTTTGGTTAGTTATTACACGCCACCTCTTTGCACCGAGTTTTCTGCTCTTAAACATCACACAGCAACCATACTGCCAATGGTAACACTAATATTCGGACACTAAGCAGGTATTCTATCATGATAACATTAGTTAAGCTGCACTTTTTTTCAAGCAACCTGACAGGGTCACCTTAAGATCCTGCTTGACTTCTGAGAAAAATCAATGACGAACTGAAACAAGTATTAGATTTACGTCACTAAGAGCTAATGCAATTGGCCAGTGATCAGAGTTCCCATCTCAGTGATAATGTGATTTGGTCCCCAACAAGCATGTCTTCACAATTTGTCGTCTCTGCTCAGCTCAGCAGTCCAATAATGAACAGCTCAAGCAATCGATGGAAAGATGTGGCATGACATGACATGAAATGAGAATTCAGAAAAAGAAAATTTCCCCCAGCTGAAGACTTCCAAGAGAAAACTCTTTGGTGGAAAGAAGCTGGGGGTCTTACAGCTACATATATCTCAAGTTGGAGGGTAGGCATAGTTTATTGTAACTGTTGCGTGCTCCCCTTTACGCCTCTTCATTTACTGCAGCACAAAACCCGACAACCAACTGACACCTCTTTCACAAGCTGCCTCAAGCAGACTGGGAGAGAAACCCTCAGCTATCCTGTGACAAAGGCACCCACAGGCAAATGTATTTGGATGTTATCAGTGTTCGCAAAAGTATGTATCGAAGGATTGTTTCAAGGCTCTGAGTGACAGTTTGCACGCCCTAAAAGGTAGTATGACTGAGACTTTGATAAAATAAGGCAAGAGGAAGTGTAGCAGCTGACCGTGTGAACAAGACCATAATCCCAAATTCACCTACAGAAACATTTTAATCTCCTTCCTTGTTGATAAATCTTGTTCACTAAGGTTTTTCCTGTTGTTTTAGCTGAAGCTAATCTAAGAGCAAGTTAGTCTTAGCTTTTAAAGGATGCTTTTCCAACAAAGTCATTTATCCAGTGAACAACTGAAACGAACGTTTACTTTAGTGGAAGACAAAATGTTCAAATCTCAAACATGCAACACTGTAGGAACTTTCAGTCATGCAGTGTCCC